AAGTCTTTGATCCTTTGTTCCAAAGACCAATGGTAGCCATAGCACACTTAAGTTCTTCCAAAGTAACTTGAGACATCTCGAGAGTTTCAATCTTTTCTTCGTATGTTGCATAGATTTGCTGTAGCTCATTCCTCTCTGTCTCACAAGTTAGGAGTTTTGCACAAAGAGCTTGTCGATTATTAGAAATCTTAAGGGCATCATTCCTAGCCTCAGAATTCTCTTTTTTTAATTTGACATTCTCACTTTCACATGCTTTGAGTTTCGTAGTGAGTTTGTCATTCAATTTGGATAAGTTAAGACACTCCTTATACAACTTTTCATAAGCTTGCTCAAGCTCTTCATCATCACTCTTCGAGGATTCATCATTAGTGGCATTCTCAACTGACCTCTTCGGATACTCTGTTCGTCCTTCAGTTTCGGAAGCTGCCATGAAGGCAAGGAATTGTTTATGTCCCTCTTCGCCTTGATCTTCGTTGTCACTTTCATTTTCATCAGATTCTGATTCATCATCTCAAGTGATGGCGAGGGCTTTCTTCTTCTTCAAACGAGTGGGGCATTCTGAAGCAAAGTGGCCAAATCCTTGGCATTCATAGCATTGGACTCTTTCAGAGTTCCCTTATATCTTTCATTTCTCCTTCTTGGCTATAGGATTAATTTTGAGTTTATCTTTGCCTTTAGATTTATGAGTATGAGTAGATTCCAAAAGTTTAGGATTCTTTTTCAAAAAAGATTTTTTAAATTGTTTAACAAAAGCAGGTGTAATCTTGGAATCTATCTCACAATCCTCATTAAAATCCTTTTCAACTCTATGAGCACTACTATAAGCAATAGTATCTTTTTGTTTCTTTTTGAAATTCCTATGTGCTTCATAAGTTTGGAGATTTCCAACCAAGTGATCCAGCTTGAAGTTGTCAACATCTTGAGCCTCCTCAATAGCCGTAACTTTTGGTTGGAACCGATCGGGCAAGGATCTCAAAATTTTTCCCACAACTTTGGATTCTGGTATTTTTTTCGCCTAAATTGAAGTTGGAATTTACAATGTCACTCAACTTCGCATAAAATTCATCAAAGGTCTCATTATCTTTCATTGAAAGGTTTTCGAAACTAGACGTGAGCCTTTGAAGTTTTGAGCATTTAACAGAAGGAGTGCCCTCATGAATAGTTTGTAAAATTTCCCAAGCCTCTTTTGAGACTTTACAATTGCAAATACGACTAAACTTTTCAGGTGACAGCGCAAAAGAGAGAATTGATACCTTTACTATTCCAACTACTATTTTGGTAATCAATTGTGTCCCACTTTTCAATTGGTTTGGGGAAAGTTACTCCATCAACGGTAATTGTTGGTTCGGTCCACCCATTCATGACAGATTGCCAAACTTTTTCATCTATAGATTTCAAAAATGATCTCATCCGAGCTTTCCAAAAAGAATAATTGGATCCATCAAGTAGGGGTGGTTGAACCATAGAATTTCCCTCACGAATTGAATCCATTATCACAAATCAAACAAGATCTCGTTCTCAAAGAATTTTTTTTTAAAAAAATAGAACGACCTGCTCTGATACCAATTGAAAAATCTAAAAATCCCCTAGATGTTGATTTGTGATTATGTATCAATTATGAGCAGTATATAACAATCCCAATCAAACAATCAAGACAAATCGACACAACGATTTTACGTGGAAAAACCATAATTGGACACCTCCAATTGTGATAAAAAAAATCACGGGCAACAGCCACAAAACAATCCACTAAGAAGGTATAAAAGAATTACACAGGTATACTCTCAATTACCTAGCAAATCCACGCCCGAATTGAACCAACCTCTATGTGTCTCTTCCAACCCTGTCTTCACCTCGGAATTGTCTTGACGATAAGCCACTCCGGAATCCACCAAAGCTTCAGGCTCGAATTCTTCAGAATCCACCGAAGAACAACTCTCTCTTTTGTGTAGAATAAACAAATAATGCTTTGATGTATACTCTTTAAACCATGAGTTGAATACTCAATCAAGACATCAAAAAAAACTAGCAAAATATCCCCAGATAAAAACCTTAGAACCCAAAAAGAAGATCTGGAGAAGTTATACAAGTTTTGGGAGAAAACCAACTACTTATAGAAAACCAAAGTAATCCTAGTTTTGGAAGAAAACCAAATCCTTATAGAAATCCGAATTTTGAAGCTCGCTCGGTTTGCTCGAGCGTGGGACTTCCCGCTCAAGCGGAGGATTCAAAATTGTGTGATTCATGTAGGCTTCACACTCGAGCGGAAGTTTCCACGCTCGAGCGCCGAATCACACCATTCAGTACTTTTTCCAGGCGAAACAGAGATGCTGTGAGCTTGCAATCCCCGCTCGAGCGTCACTTTCCCCGCTCGAGCGGGACGACCAAAATTGGAAAATCTGGAAAACTAGATCCTATTACAACCTCGGTTTTGATCCTATTCAAAATTGTCAATGGCACAATTCGAATTGGATTCGCATCTAATAAACTCATAGCCTCATTGAAATAAAAGTGCAAAAACAAATACAACTATAAGGAGTTTTGTCAAATGGGATTGCCAAGAATAAAAACCTAACAAAAATGAATTCTCAGATTTTTCCACTCAAGGAAGATGAAAGAAATGAGCTCAAATGAGCTTATTAGGCTCATATAAGCTTATGGTGCTAAAACACATTAATTAGAATATTAGGCTAACCAAACATGACTTAACGAATCAGACTGAATCAATTTTTAATAAAATTTTCCATATGGTTCTAAAAATTCCAAATAACATATTGACGTAATCAATTTCGGTTTCGGATGCCGATAAGGCTTTCAATTTACATATTAAAATGGAATTCCAAACAGATATTTCTATAAGTAACAGATAGAAGGCCAAATATCATGCAATTTACATACTAACCCCATAATTCATTTGATCCACTCAATTAGCATCATTAAATACGGATTAGTGGCTAATTACGGATAGGGGTTATTACAGAAGGAGAGTAGGCATACAGTTGGTATATATGGTGGAAGGTAGACTTATGAGTCATAAGGTAAATCCAAGTATAACAAGTGCAATCATCAACAAATGAAATATAGTATGCGGGACCCCCTTTAGTGAGAATATGAGAAGGACCTCAAATATCAGTATGAACTAAAGAAAATTGTGTATTAAATATAAAAGTACTTTTACCAAAAGGTAAGGTTGTCATTTTGGTAAGTTTACACCCCTGACACTTGGTAAGTTGAGTAGGAAAAACTTTACCCAATATACTTGACTGAGCTAAAGACCGTAAACGGTCAGCAAACAAATGCTCTAATCTGGAATGCTACAAATAAAAAGGACTTGATAGAGAATCTAACTGAAAGAAGAAAAGGCCGTCGAAGAGGTAGTCATAGGTAGATGTAGGCTCTCCACCACATAGAGGTCTCCAACTTTATGGCCAGTCTCAATCTGCTGCTTAGACATCCGATCTTGCATAGAACAGATAGAAGAAGAAAAGATAACATTAAAACTGGAGGCATTAACCTGACTGATAGATAATAAATTGACAAATAATTGAGGAACATATAAGACAGATGGAATAGAGACATCATACATAGCAGACGGTGACCCAACAGATATAACAAACATACCAGACCCATTAGCAACATTAATAGTGATAGGAAAGGGAAGGGGAGTACAATTTTGAAGTAAGGAGAGATAGGCAATCATATGATGAGAGGAACCAGAGTAAAAAATTTAGATAGACGAAGAGATACCTGAAGAAGACCCAAGCAAATTTGAATAAGTAGAGGAAACAACGGAAGCAGACGAGAATGGATGAGAGGTAGACAGTATATGCTAAAGCTGACCAATCTGAGCACTGAAGGAAGCTAAGTCAAGATCAAGAGCTGAAACAGGAGCAATAGAAGTGGTGGGAGGGCGAAGAGTACTCTGAAGAGGAGCACGAAACTGAGTCTAAGATTGCTGAGTAGACGAGGCAGGCAGACGTCCCTTCTTGGGATAGTGATATTTCCATTGGCTTCTCTGATGGCAGTAAGCACCCTCATCTGAAGCCAGTAGCCTATTTTTGGGCCTAGCCATTTTATCATCCGTCATTGTAATGAACTAGCAAGAACAATAGAAAAAATCAAAAGAAATGAGAGCCAATACACAAATAGGAATATCCACTGGGGTCAAAGAATAATAAGCACTAAATTACCAAGTGAATAACACCTCAGATAAGGAACCAGATGATAATACCTCATATGGGTCAAATATCCAAACCTAGTTCAGAAAGATGATCTTCACGATGTGAAGCTAAGCCAGAGAGACGATAGTGAATCAAAGCGAGAGAATGACCAACCAGACGAAGCCCTCACACACAGTCGTGATCCACGACTTACAATCCATGAAGCAGAGAGGGTTACGGTGCAGCAAAGACCACCTACGAATCAGCGTCGCGAATCAGATGACCAGATGGGTCGATTGAACGAAACAACAGATGGGTTGACTTAGATGACCAAATGGGTCAACTCAAACAGATGACTAAACAAGCCAAACCTAATCTCGAATCAGACCAATAAGAGAACCACAATCGGTGGATTGTGATTCGAACTCAGATGGGTCGCACGAATCTAGAAAGCTAAACCAGAGAAGAATCGACCTTGGCTGCTAGGGTTTTGAACATAGCTTTGATACCATGTAAGATTTTTGAATGACTTTTGTATATTCAATTGTGTTTCTAATACAAGAGTATATCGGTTTAGATAACAAACTAACCCTAAGACTGAAAAGGAAACTAGAATAATTACTCAATCCCTAACATTCCCTAAACTATGCAAAAAAATATGTACTACCATATATACATAAAACCTAATATTTTCACAACGGATTTGAGTTTGGATGTGGATTTAAATCTAAGGATTTAAATCTAAAATGCTAAGAATTAGTAGATGCATTTGGGAACACACACACACACACACACACACACACACACACAAACATACAATATGTACATACATATAGATAACTATATAGTGTTTGAGCTATTTGTAGAAAATCATGGAGGGGGAGAGAGAGCTGGCTCAAGCAAATCCGAACATAGCCCAAAAGTAATATATTTCTTAGGAATGACCTCAAGCAAATCTTACTATATGTTAGACATATCTGTTATGTATGAGATAATGGTTATCTTAATTTACTTGCCTTTAAGCAATTGTTGTTTTGTGGTGTGTAATTTTAAGCTCTTCCAGTGCTCACTCCTTGTTCATTAAGGTCTTCATATTGTGGTTTTGTATAGAAGGTTAAAGAGTCATGTGTAAGGACTCAAAGCCAAAGAAGTCAGGAGGAAAGGGAAAGGGAAAACAGGCAGCGGGAGGAAGTGATGATACTGCTTCCAAAGGTAAAGGAAAATGAGCAAAGACAGGTGGGCTTGGCACCTGCACATATGTCAAAGGTTGTTTCTTCCCTTAAATTTGTTTTTCACGAGCTTCTATGTTTTTTTAACTACAATTTATCTAGTATGTTGAGTCTCTTGATTTGACTCTGGGTTTTGGATTTTGTTTTTAGCAGGGCATATCTTATGTGAGAAACAAGGGAAGATTAATGAAGCATACAAGAAGCTAGAAAAGATGGCTGGCTTAGTAATGGAGAAAAGGTTCCACCTGCTGAGTTTGCAGAGGTGATTTCCCCGTTACATTATCCATTTTCTCATTATTTTTTAACACATTTAGTTTAGAACTTTTACACTTGTTGGTCAAGGTTTTGTCGGTATCAATTTCTGGTTTTGAACTTGGAGGGGGTCATTTTTGACTCTTTCATATTTTTGTAATGATTTATGATCTTGATGGTGAACCTGATTCAATTGTATTTAGTTGGTTTTTATTTAGGTATTTAATGGGTTCATCATTTTCACTTAGCTACTTAATTGCTTTCAAGCCTTCTAAAATGTGCTAAATAATTATGATCTCTTCAATAATAATTATTATAACAGTTTTGAAGTACTACATTACAAAACCTTGGTCATTGGAAACAAATTGCATGAACACACCATGTTGAAAGTTAACTAATGGTCCATATGTTTGGGTGAGAAAATGTTTTTCTTATTTTTTGGCATTTGGTACAATGGAAAATGAAATATCAACAAAAAATGTCCTGTGGTAAAAACAAACCTATTTGGGCGGAAAATGGTTGCACTTTTAAAAAGTGCAAAACGTTTTCCAAACTAAAATCTTAACAATCCCACCACACTACCACCAGCAACACCACCACCACACTGCCACCACCACCGCCACAACCTCCTCCACATCACCACCCCGGCTCTTGCCACCACCACCGTCACCCTGTTGCCACCTCCTTACCACCACTAATACAACTGTTAGTACATTAGTTTTAAGGACGCAAAATGTTTTTCGTTGAAACAAAAGGAGCGTAAGAAAATGGTTTGGGTGTTCTCTGTACAATCTCCTATAGAGAATTTTTGACTGAGATATTGTCTCAGGAATATTTGAAGGAGCCATAGCACTGACATCTCTGCGCTGCTTTTGTCTTTTTCTTCCAGCTAGCAACGAAATATTCAGAGTGTCCATCAGGGAAGAAGGGTGGAGACTTGGGATGGTTTCTGCACGGTAAGTTGGCTGGCTTATTTCAGGATGTTGCCTTTAGCACAACTGTTGGAGCTACCAGTGCACCATTTAAATCAACGTATGCTATTTTAATTCCTAATTTTTGCTCCGCAAACCTGCTAACCACATGTTAAGCTTTATCTTATGCTGTTCATATAGCTCAGACCGGCTAAATTTGTTATGCTATTGATGATATAGGAATGGATACCACATTATCTTGTCCTAGTGGAGGAAGAATTGATAGAACTTGGCATTCAAAGTTGTGCTCTCTCGGATTATTAACCACCAAATCAAAGTAAGCATTGTGTATTTATCTGTGTGAGACTTTGGCTTGATTGTGGCATGGTTTTTAGAACATAATTGACTCGATGATGCTTCAACCTTTTAGACGTTGGTTTGATAAGTAGTTTGTTTTTGGTAGTCCACTTTCTGTTATATATAGTTCTGACTGCTGGATTTGGTCTTTATTGTAGTCCACTCTCTGTTAAAAATCATTTGATAATCAAAGGTTTTGCATGGAATCCACTGATCCTTAGGGCATGTTTGTTTGGACGGACTGGATAAGGGGGATTGTAATCCATCGGACTGTTGTCCTAGATACATTGTCCCTGGACTATTTGGTTAGACTGGATTTGTATCCTAGGTTTGTTTAGTCATGAGATTAGATTTTTGGATTGGACTATTTTTAGTGAATCCAATGTTTGGTTAGACGGACTAGATAAGGATAAATGTTCAAAAGACTGTTTTACCCTTGTAATTTATAATTTATATTTTTTTATTTAATATATAATTTTAAATTTGTAATCTATAATTTATAATTTAACAACACTAAAAAATTTTAATTTATAAGGCCATAATTTTTAATTTATTATTTTTAATTAAATTAAATTTATAATTTATATAATTTTAAATTAACAACACTAAAAAAATAATTTTATTTAATATATAAATTTAATTTTTTAAATAAGTGCACCTTCTATGTTTTTTTAAATACAATTTATCTAGTATGTTGAGTCTCTTGATTTGACTCTGGGTTTTGGATTTTGTTTTTAGCAAGGCATATCTTGTGTGAGAAGCAATGGAAGAAAGTTAGAAAAGATGGCTGGCTTAGTAATGGAGACAAGGTTCCACCTGCTGAGTTTGTAGAGGTGATTTCCCCATTATATTATCCATTTTCTCATTATTTTTTAACACATTTAGTTTAGAACTTTTACACTTGTTGGTCAAGGTTTTGTCGGTATCAATTTCTGGTTTTGAACTTGGAGGGATCATTTTTTACTCTTTCATATTTTTGTAATGATTTATGATCTTGATGGTGAACTTGATTCAATTGTATTTAGTTGGTTTTTATTTAGGTATTTAATGGGTTCATCATTTTCACTTAGCTACTTAATTGCTTTCAAGCCTTCTAAAATGTGCTAAATAATTATGATCTCTTCAATAATAATTATTATAACAGTTTTGAAGTACTACATTACAAAACCTTGGTCATTGGAAACAAATTGCATGAACACACCATGTTGAAAGTTAACTAATGGTCCATATGTTTGGGTGAGAAAATGTTTTTCTTATTTTTTGGCATTTGGTACAATGGAAAATGAAATATCAACAAAAAATGTCCTGTGGTAAAAACAAACCTATTTGGGCGGAAAATGGTTGCACTTTTAAAAAGTGCAAAACGTTTTCCAAACTAAAATCTTAACAATCCCACCACACTACCACCAGAACACCACCACCACACTGCCACCACCACCGCCACAACCTCCTCCACATCACCACCCCGGCTCTTGCCACCACCACCGTCACCCTGTTGCCACCTCCTTACCACCACTAATACAACCGTTAGTACATTAGTTTTAAGGACGCAAAATGTTTTTCGTTGAAACAAAAGGAGCGTAAGAAAATGGTTTGGGTGTTCTCTGTACAATCTCCTATAGAGAATTTTTGACTGAGATATTGTCTCAGGAATATTTGAAGGAGCCATAGCACTGACATCTCTGCGCTGCTTTTGTCTTTTTCTTCCAGCTAGCAACGAAATATTCAGAGTGTCCATCAGGGAAGAAGGGTGGAGACTTGGGATGGTTTCTGCACGGTAAGTTGGCTGGCTTATTTCAGGATGTTGCCTTTAGCACAACTGTTGGAGCTACCAGTGCACCATTTAAATCAACGTATGCTATTTTAATTCCTAATTTTTGCTCCGCAAACCTGCTAACCACATGTTAAGCTTTATCTTATGCTGTTCATATAGCTCAGACCGGCTAAATTTGTTATGCTATTGATGATATAGGAATGGATACCACATTATCTTGTCCTAGTGGAGGAAGAATTGATAGAACTTGGCATTCAAAGTTGTGCTCTCTCGGATTATTAACCACCAAATCAAAGTAAGTATTGTGTATTTATCTGTATGAGACTTTGGCTTAATTGTGGCATGGTTTTTAGAACATAATTGACTCGATGATGCTTCAACCTTTTAGACGTTGGTTTGATAAGTAGTTTGTTTTTGGTAGTCCACTTTCTGTTATATATAGTTCTGACTGCTGGATTTGGTCTTTATTGTAGTCCACTCTCTGTTAAAAATCATTTGATAATCAAAGGTTTTGCATGGAATCCACTGATCCTTAGGGCATGTTTGTTTGGACGGACTGGATAAGGGGGATTGTAATCCATCGGACTGTTGTCCTAGATACATTGTCCCTGGACTATTTGGTTAGACTGGATTTGTATCCTAGGTTTGTTTAGTCATGAGATTAGATTTTTGGATTGGACTATTTTTAGTGAATCCAATGTTTGGTTAGACGGACTAGATAAGGATAAATGTTCAAAAGACTGTTTTACCCTTGTAATTTATAATTTATATTTTTTTATTTAATATATAATTTTAAATTTGTAATCTATAATTTATAATTTAATAACACTAAAAAATTTTAATTTATAAGGCCATAATTTTTAATTTATTATTTTTAATTAAATTAAATTTATAATTTATATAATTTTAAATTAACAACACTAAAAAAATAATTTTATTTAATATATAAATTTA